CCCATGCTGGAATTAGACAACTCGCCCGAGGGACATTACTTCCCAAGCAAACAGTGCCCCCTAAAGAAGATCAAAGTTGCTAAAACATTCGAGGAATGCGATCAAGTTATCGAGTGCCTGTGTTTTTTGAAGAGGGGGTAGAAACCTACGAACATCTCCAGCATGATTAACTAAAACGACGGAAAAGGCGGCGCCAGAATCATGCTATAATTCAATCAGATACCGATTCAAGTTCAGTCTCAGGGGACGAAGAAGCTGAGTACACCTCGGATGAAGAGAGCCTAGTTGTCATGCGAAAGAAGCAAGCGCAGGCCGTGCGCCATATGGAAAGCCGATTTCATGAGCTCATTGAAGCTTACTCTCGAAGATATCCGCAGTGGAAGAAGCATTATGACCCTGAGCTAAGGGAGCTAAATTACCGCCTAGAAAAGTTAAATGATGTTCAGGAGGATAATAAGTAGGCGCAAAACAGAAGTGGGCACACAAAGAAAGAGTAGTTATATGTGTACGTCTATGCGAACTTTTATTGACCAATCCTTCAAAAGTCCCTATTCAAGCAAAGAGAGGTGCGCACGTAATACATCTATTCTAGTAAGTCTGAGGAGTGAAGTAGTCACAGTCCCATGATCATACTATAGATAGTTTTATCTATGTTGCACCGGTATATGCCCCTGTCTTTGACTAAATAGGCACAGATCTAGATAGAAGATGTATGAATTAATTTGAATACTAAGTATATATTAAATCGTATAGCTGTATTGTGTGTAGGTATCTGATGGTAGCACGAGACAATATCGTCCGCCACTGGAGAGAAGCAGAGCATGGAGCGCCAGAGACCCGATGGGAAGAGGTTATGTTGTAGACTTGGATGCACGGGAGGTATTCTCGATACTGGATCGTCCGAGACGACAGCAACGCCTGCATCACATCAGATACCGCCGACATCATCATAAGATACAGCGCTGTAGAAGAGATAATCACTTCTAGTCAAGCCCGGCTAAAAGAAGAGGATGCTATGAAACTCCAGAAGGGTTACTTAGAAGAGGATATCGACCGTAATTTATCGTGAGTGAAGAGACTACATTAGGTACAGCACTTTAGCTCCCGGTACTTGCTCAGTATCCACGACGCAGCCACATAGGTACAAGCAAGGGCAGTAACTGGCCAGGATCATAACAACAAGCCCAAGCAGCATGCCATTCGGCCGAAAAGGTAAGGAGGCATCGATGACAAAATATCGTTCCGTAGGTCACCGCTATTTGAGCTTTTGCTGGAGGTCATACCGGATCGGTCGTGAGAAGGTATTTCGATGCTGGGCTGTTCAGTTTACAAATGAGCAATGGAGCTTACTGCACAATGTTGACGAAGAACTTGAAGGAGATGCATTTCCCAGCAGCCGGGACAGTGGGTTCTGCAGCGGAAGAAATGTAGACAGTGATGATGAGGAAGAAGATGAAGATGAAGAGGTTGGCGAGTGCAAGGAGGAGCTTGACGATGGCGGTATAAGCAGTCCGGTACGCAATGCGCTTGATCGAGCTATATTCCGGTTTATTGTTTCTTCGATTAAAACAGAAGTTGGTGGGAATTTATATACGAACCCGCCGCTATGCTTTTGTGAAGCATTTGGTATCAGGCAACGTCCGCTGGATTACATAGCGCCGCACTTATATACTGGCATGCTAGCTGGTATACTATGGTGGGCCCGGCTGTTTTTTCTCACATCAATCTGGCGACGATGGCTGTTAGACCTCATTGAGCATTCTCACAACAATCTGGTGACGGTCTCTAGTAGGGGTACATCAGTAACCCCCAAGGCCACAGATGTGGAGATTACTTGACTAAACAGACTTAGCGCGGGTACATGCTACGCTAACTCAAAAAAGGATTAGTTTTGACGACGAAATTCTGATTGGCTATGGGCTGGTGAAGCGACGACGAGGTTCACAACTAATACGAGCGATAACGTCACAACGAGAGCAGGAATGAAGATAAAAAGTGTTTTTATAATATCTAAATGACCTTGAGGCTAGGTGTAATTTATGGAAAGTAGTTTTGGTCAGCTACCCCCACCCATGTCTAGTCACCTTTTTCATGATGTCTTCTCCAAATGTTTTGTACTCTGTCACAGTGGTGTCTAGGGCTATCACGACGTCAGGGCTGGATTTGTTGGGTTGTGTTGTTTCTATGATTTCCCAAGGACAAGTGTTATTTTCTCATGGCCTTCCTCTTTCAATACAGTCATTCATTGATTGAGTCTCCTATGTATTTAAATCATCACCCATTGTGAAAGAAATTCACGCCAATAGCTTCTTGCAGAATAAGTTAAGAGAACGCAGTAGCAGAGAAGAGCTCTGAAACTCTATTAATCTAATGGTGACCCTACTGTACCAACCAAGCACAGCTTGTAATTTACTAAATTACACACTTTTCGTCCGTGCGCTGATTGATTGTTCCGCGCTCACTGTGGTTTTCGACAGGGGTCCCTGAAAACTAATCTGTATGATTTTGGGTAATTCTGCCATCATATCACGCTTATCTTCCCTCACCGCCTACCCAAAACATCACGACACCCCGCTTCTCGTCCCAATTTCACCATATTACTTTTCCACTAACAATACGAAACCCCTTTACAAAACTGTTGC